CCAATCACTAATACAGTAGATATCATGTAATGGATGACAAAAAAGCTCTTTCAGACGTTGAGATGAGTTTGAAATACATTTGAGAGAGAGAGAGAGAGAGAGGACGACAAAAATATAAATATTATATATTAATAATAATATATATAGTGATAAATACAATTTGCTTGTGATATAAGTCACAGTTAAAATATAACCACAAAATGAATATCAAAGTTAAGTTATATCTTTGATTAGATTTAGTTTTTGTATTTTGTGTTCATTATGTATATTAAGAGTCTTTTCTTTGCGGCGATGACTTTAAGTAAAATGTTTTCAACTGTCCCTTCCCTTTGACCGTAACCAAACCTCTCTGTTCAAACGTGAACCCAAACTCCTCCAGTATATGAGCCGTTTCTTCCACCACCTGTTCCCACACAAACACAAACACAAATCATTGATATTTTAATCGTTCAAATTTAATACATATTATAATTATTTTTATAATTATATTATAATTATTATAATAATTTTGTCATATTCTACTCGTTATATCATTTTCCACTTTCATGTCATTACATAACACAATATTCAAATATAATTGAAATTGACGACAAATAAATGACATCGTTATCAAAAATTATAGCAAATGCCTAATACAGTACATTGATAAATGATATTAAATAGTTAAATTATTTGAAATAACAATCCAATTGATCGTAATTTAACGCATATTGTCGTCTCTTTTGTCATTTATTTAATATTTAAGAATAAATTTTTATTTCTAGGAAAACATTATCTTTAAAACTATATATATTTTCTCATTTCTTTTTCATATATAGGAATAAAATACAAAAAAGAAATGAAATGCATTCACAAAGATATAGAAGAGATAGACTTACAGAATATTCCTATTATATCTCAACTCAAAAGAATATAGGATTAGAAATGTATACTCACTTGAATACAACCGGCTTTTCCCGTACTTTCCATTCTGTTTAATATAAAATGAAAATATATATAAATTCATGGCATTAATGATTGAAATTTATGAAAAGTTAAGTAAAAAACAAAACAAAATCAGTTCATTGAAAATAATCTCAAAATATCACCAAAAATATTAAGTGCATAATTGAATATAGAATCGGTTGACAGGTTTTCTGACAAAACTTCTAATTTTTTATATTCTTGAGAATTTAATTAAATTATCAAAACCAATCTCTCTCTCTCTCTCTCTCTCTCACTCACTCTCTCTCTCTCTCTCTCTCCTATACAATTGAATCAATGCATTTGTGTAAAATTTTAGGCTTATATGGTATATATATTTTTAACCATATATTGTTCGTAGAATTCATAATATTGTAAAATTCATGGCTTTCATTGATAACGAACTGCTTTCGGCAATAAATACTTTTAAAAAATGATGTTCTCTTACAGTGACTGATATACACAATATGTGCTTCTTTTATGTACTAGTCTTTCAAATCAATAGTATATCCCAATCACTAATACAGTAGATATCATGTAATGGATGACAAAAAAGCTCTTTCAGACGTTGAGATGAGTTTGAAATACATTTGAGACGAGAGTGAGTGGGAGATAGAAATTGAAAACAGTATAACAATAGCGGATATATTGAATGATTTCTTTTAATTTTTAAATAATTAATTCCTAACAATACGTTACTATTGCCTAACATTTGAATCCAAAGTGTTATGCAAACGTCGATAGAGACTGAAGACAAAAAACAATTGTTTTTCACTTGTGATACATGTCTGAAGTCAATCACAAAATAATTTCATTTATTTTTACGCAACAGAAAAAAATATTATGTCATATAATATGAGTTGCAATAAATTTATTTGTATTTCATTTTTGATTACAAAACTATCTATTATAGCAAAGTTTTCATTACTTTAGCTGTCATTTTGTTGCTCTCTATCTCTCACTCTTTCCCCTCTCTATCACTCACTCCCTTCGTGTTGTATCGGAAGGCGAATCTCACGGGAATTAATTAATTATAGGAATTAAATGAAAAGTTTTTAATAATTAAATACATAGACTTTCGCAACACAGCGAACATGAGTTCGCCTTTCGGTTTAATTATAAACTTTTGGCCTAATATTGTGTGTGTTTTTCCCATTATATTATTTTGTGTACAGAAATAAAACTATTTTGTGATTAATTAACTCAATTACACTAATGCCCTGGACTTCGCCGACAAATGACTTTTCATTAATTTAAATCAATTTCATTGCTCTTATTGTACAAAATATGTGTCACTTAATGTATGTCTATATTTCTGACCAAAAAATATGTAACGCTTTTTAAATTAGATTTAATGTCAACATTAATTTGATTAGACTTTGAATCTAATTATGACAAAAATAATATAAAAAAATAGACAACATTTTCGCAATCAATATAGACTTAAAATAAATGAGATTCTGTTGGAAAAAACCGTCTGTCGATTAAATACTGGGGAAACAGGAGAGCAGCAAAATATGATAGATTATAATCACTCATAAAAGGCTTAACAATATATCAAAATAAATTGACTAACAATTTGTAACTTAAAAAATCAATTTAAACAAAATGTATTGTAAGCATCAAAAGTAATGCCATGTATTATATCACGAAAATTGTAACAAAAATACATTTTGAAAGCGAAATAAATAGCTGTGTGTAAGAACGGACACATACCTGGACGCGACGTTCACCGAGTTTCCCCACCTGTGGTCCGAAAGACATTATAATAAATTAATAATCGATATGTAATTACTGTCTAAACTTGTGAGCGCAACATATATCTCGTGCCAAATAGATGGCCAAATAAACACAACTCGTTAATAACTTACATATCATAATGTGGTTTTCGGGCGCCTATAACTCCCGCTGTGATCGGTCCGTGATTTATGCCTATTATTGATCCGCAGAGAAAATAAAATAACATTAAGTAAAAAGCATTACAACATTCAGTACATGTACACAATATAAAGTAGTGAAACGGGGGCTCAAATGGGTTTATTATAAATAAAAAATAAAGGGTAAAAACCATTAGAGCTATTGATCCTAAACTCTACGAACAGAAAATCACTGCCAAACACAAAATTATACAAAATTGATTGTTCGGTTCACTTATGTACCCATTCTTAGGACAAAATTGTTGAAACTCTCTTTATTGATGTTATTGAGAGTGTCTTTGAGAGTGAGTGCGAATTCAGTGAGTTGTGCCAAATGAAACCACTTGTCACGGATGGTGGCGTCCGGTCTCAGCGACGACTCGTCGCAATTCAGACCACTGGCCGCCATATATGTGGACGAAATGGTCTTGATTTTGATGATATTGGCGAACCGGGGCTGTTCCAGGAGGGCGTCGTAATCGGATATGACTTCGTTCAGGAATCGGATGCACTCCAGGCCCTGATTGTTGACCGTCTCCTCTGTGTAAAAGTCGGAGAAGTTGGGCATCGCTGCGAACAGTATGCCCACCGACTCGTAACTCTTTGAATATAATTCCTGTCAAACAACAAATGCAATTCTCAGCGCTATTCTCAATTCAGTATTTCAATTGCATTCTCTGCGTAACAATTCTGCAAGAATTTGCAATTCTTGTCTCCAATTCGTGCAAAGAATTTATGCATTCAATTGAATACCTCATCGTTTTTACGTTTGCCGAGGAAATGGATGGCCACGTGTGGCGGTAGTATGTTATAGACGAGCGCCTCATTCTTGCGCCGCATGTCTGACACCTTCTCCTTCTGTTCCTCGACATCCTTTTGCCAGAGAAACAGTCGGCGAGACATCAGTTCAGACTATTGGTGTTTAGCCGACAATTTTAGTCAAATAAGAAATAATATATTAAATTAGTTTTCATTTGAGTTCATTTTGTTTGCATTCTTGCGAAGCAAACGAGTATTTGTTTTTAGTGTGTATTCTGTGTGACAGCAATAGAGATAACACAGACCTGTCTATTGATAATAAATAACGCGACGGCAATCGTGACAATCATTATCGAGAGGTAGCTCTCGTGGCCCAAGAAGTGTCTCTTGTCTTCATATGCCGTCGAATCGTAAAATCGAAAAAATTTATCTAATTTAAAGACATTTAGACAGCACTGGCCTATGACTAGACTCAATATAATGAACATCTTAACAAGGTAACTGATTCTGGTGAGCGCCGTAACCCCTAATTGGCCTAAAATACTAAAATAGCACAAGTATTGAGGCAATGGATAGTAATAGTAATCGTCGCTATAATTGAGTGGACTTTCTAGTGATTGTGATTGCGATGAGGGCTGTTGTGATCGAGACTTGTTTATCGATCGCAACATATTGTGTTCAGACAGAGAATCGTTTTCATAAAATACCTGCAAATAAAATAGAGAGCATTCTGTACAATCGTTCTCTCTCTCTCTCTCTCTCTCTCTCTCACTCACTCTCACTCATTCACTTTCTCCATCCCTTATACATTGTAACTGATCTATAATGTGAAATGATTGGTAAATGCAATGTGTACTTACATTGGTGAGAATGTGGGCACTAATCCAGACGGCAATCATACTACCGGCGATCACTAATCTAATCCAAGCCTTTTCTTGAACTGCATGTGAAAAATTTGAAATGATTGGTAAATGTAATGTGTACTTACATTGGTGAGAATGTGGGCACTAATCCAGACGGCAATCATACTACCGGCGATCACTAATCTAATCCAAGCCTTTTCTTGAACTGCATGTGAAAGCGTTGCGATTGGCTTTGGAAACGACTAAATGCCAGATAAATTCGCCAAAAAGTGAAATATTAGGCTTATATTTAGCATTAATTACACATTTATTTATCTTAAAATCTAGAGAACACTTTAAACCACTTGACTATACATTTGCGGCTCATTTATAATACATAGAATCAGAATATTCTGTAGTTTGAAAACCTATTATCGGCTCATAAAATAGTAGTCAAACGGGGCTTACATTGCATATGATAGGAGCGGTGCAGACAAATGCTTTGGCTATGAGTAGAGTAACGCATAAGAATAATACCATATAAGTTGATAATCGCCTGTAAAATAAGGTAAGAATAATATATATAAATGATATATCGTTATAATAACTATATTGATAATTCTCGGTTAGAAAAAAATCCATTCAATGGATACATAAAATAATATTAATGTGCTTTCATCTGCGATCTGAATGTAATCATCACATCTCACTCTCTGCTCAATAAATATCACAAATATATCTATATATCGCATGTATGGACGAACAGTACTGTGTATACCATAACATAACATACAATTATATTAAGTTAGTGTCCGTATGGTTATAATGATATCATTAATGCTTATAAATCCAGAAACAGAGAGTATATGTCTGGTAAAAGGGGACTCTTTTCTCGCAATAAATTCTCTGTCAAATAGTGTCAGTGTTTTGATATAAATACTGTACATATACTAACATTATGTCTAGAATTGCAATCGATTTAAATTATAATCATTGGCCTCGAGATAGTAAAGGAAGGGTTTACTGATAGGAGCGAAGAAATTGTGTATAGAAATGATGGCCTAACAGAGCAAACAACGATGTGATTAGCAATTAGATGATTGTACTTACGGCAGACCAATGAGTAAGTATGCGATCAAATAGCAAAATTTGAAATGATTGGTAAATGTAATGTGTACTTACATTGGTGAGAATGTGGGCACTAATCCAGACGGCAATCATACTACCGGCGATCACTAATCTAATCCAAGCCTTTTCTTGAACTGCATGTGAA